CCCACCCATTCTGCAACACATCAGGTCTAAGTGTTTGCATCTCTCTTTTTTGCACGCAACAGCACAAAAAGGTTCCCCCTCTTGCCTAATTTTGACTATTTAGGATGGGTAATACTTGTCGCTGACTTAAAATGACACCAATCTCCCATGCAGCATCTGAAAGCCAAACTGAAATTCAACCCTTCTGCTATTTGTACAGCACCTAGGACCATGGGCACTTCACCACAAACAATCACTGGGAGCTCTATGTGAGACTAAAAAATTCTGGATTTGGTCTTTTTTTTCCCTCAAGAAAGCACTGCCAGTCTCAAAAACTGCTTGGACCACCACAAGCCTTGCTCAGCCTTGTTCAGACTCACCCTGTAAAAGCTGCCCATGGCCAGAACTGCAGAAAAGCAGGGTGAGTTTGTTTAAATGCCTTTTATGTTGCCTAACAAGGAAACGTCATTTATCATCACACCGGTTCCTTTCATTGCAATTCGGTGCTGGAGGCTAATTTACACAGAATCAATGGCAAAACAGTTAGCTGGGAGTTTATTTTACTAAGCATTTGGTCATGTCAATCCAATTCATAACTGCCTCTCCTTGTTAAATATCCCCCCTGGGGAAATAGTTACAGCATATCCACTTCCAGCATCACGTCTGGCTGCAGGAGTGGAAGATGTGCTCGCAATGCAGCTTCCATCAAAGAGCCGCTCGCAGCCACGAAACAAATGGACCGACCTGCCAGGGGAGGCTGCACAAGGGACAGCAGTGAGGTTGCACCTCTCTGCAGAGAGCTGTGTTATCGAGAGTGAAAGAATAACAGGCACACGTTCATCTGATGAATGTTTCCTTAAACAATAAGAAAAAAAAAAAGAAAAAAAAATGTGCTTCGAATTGAATCATAGAATCCATCGTCTAGGTTGGAAGGGACCTTAAAGATCATCTAGTCCAACCATCAACCTAACTCTGACAAAAAAAAAAAAGAAATAAATAAGAAATATGCAATTTAAAAAATCACTAAACCATATTCTTGAGGACCACGTCAACTCATCTTTTCAACACCTCCAGGGATGGTGCCTCAACCACTTCCCTGGGCAGCCTATTCCAATGCTGGATAACCCTTTCCGTGAAGAAATGTTTCCTAATATCCAACCTGAACCTCCCCTGGCACAACTTGAGGCCACTTCCCCTTGTCCTATCTCTTGATTTAATCTTTGGAGGATATTACGCAGAGGCTATTCTCAAGGCTGCCAGCGTTTAGAGCACAGATCCATTACTTGACAAAATGAGGATGGACATAAAGAAAAGGGAGGGGCGCTTGCAGAAGAGAAGAAATGCAGCAGTTGTCCCACTCTGTTGGTACACCACAGCGTTGCCCAGCTTCCCTCAGCGGTTTTGGAAATCTTAGCTTGAAGTCTCTTTGAGATATGGGGTTTTGCACAGGATGGCACAACAAATGGGGCAAAGAAATCCTAACTCTGACTTGATCCCCAGGTCAAACTCTGTTGATGACACAGATCTTCTGAATTCATCAACAAAAAGTATTCAAATTTATAATTTCACCATCAAAGGTCTGTTCCAAGCCTGGCAGCCCTCAGGCCACCACAGACGAGGAGGACCATTTCATAGGCTCTGACTCATGGAAAAACATGTCTTGTGAGATTGTCTCAATTCTGCTTTTCATAAACACTCTGTACCCCAGTCTCAAAACCACTGAGTACAGTGAAAGCCTACATAACCCCCAGAGGAACCTGCTTGTCCACCATTCACAGCACCGCTTCATTTTGCAAATCCTTCTGCACTCATTTTAGGTACCATCACATTTTCAGTTAGTGATGAGATCTCAACTTCCATCAGCTGATGGGAGCATGAAGAGCTCCAGGTTATTGTAAAAGGCAGAAGGCTACATCTGCCTTTCACCAAGTGATGAATACCTGCTGGATCAAGCCACGCCAGATTGTCATTATCACTGAATCACAGAATCGCCAGAGTTGGAAGGGACCTTCTAGAGATCATTTAGTCAAACTCCTCTGCTAAAGCAGGAACGCCTAGAGCACATCACTCAAGACTGCATCCAGGTGGGTCTTGAAGATCTCCAGAGAAGGGGACTCCACACCCTCCCTGGGCAGCCTGTTCCAGTGCTCTGTCACCCTCACTGTAAAGAAGTTTTTTTCTCATATTTGATTTTTATTTTTTTTTAACACCACATTACCACAAAACAGCCTGAAGAAGATTGTTTCCAAAGCTCTGAATATTGGTGGCCTCCAGCATAATGACAGCCTCAAGCTCACTCTCATGCCACAGTTGCTGAAGCAAGGAAGCAGATGAACTGTCCCAAACACCAGAGCATCCATGTGTGTTAATCACCTTCCTCACATTCTGAGCTCAACAGTTCCAACCATAGCTTTTAAATTCCTTTAGTTTGGTTAACTGTATCTCATTGGAAGCCAGAAAAAACACTCAACATGTGAAAAGGACCAGGTGATACGCAATTTTTTAAACCACTTTATGGTTTTTTTTTAATAGCACTTGAATTACTTGTAACAGTCAGTTGAGATCCTTCTTGTGCTAGGTGCTGTACAAAAAATCAGAGAGGAGATGAACAGCAGGAAAGCTAAATTAATTAGATAAAGAAAAGAGTAAGATTAACATTTTTTGTTTTTCAGGGATAGAGACCTGAAACGTTTCTGCAGCTTCGTCCCTAAGACAGACTGATGCTGGCCTGGGGGAACCTCCCAAAGGTTTGCTGCAGCTTTTCCGTGCAAGCAACTGTGTTTCACATGGATCAATAGGAGCAAAGCAAAGGCAAAAAGAAAGCTTACATTTCTAAAGCACAGGTGAGGCGCTGCCTCCGCTCCGCACTGCTTCTGGTAGTCTGCCCAGTCAAAGTCCTGGCCAGAGTAACCTGCAGGATGACAAAAGAGAAAGTGCCATCAGCCTCCACCTCACACCAGAGACAGAGCACAAAATGGGCCCCAAGGTGACGATCATTTGTGTTTCAGCATCCCATCCCACCTCAGTGAATTGCAGAGTATCAGCAGGCAAGTACTCTGGATGCCTGTTCATACAGCATGAGAGCCAATGACAACACTTCTCCAGCCCCAACTCATACATCTTCTTCATTTCACTTTGAAAACTTCACATCTTCATTAAAAAGTAGTAAAAAATGCTTATTTCCATATTTTCCCTTTCCTGTGAGCGTCTTCCATGCTTTAGTAAATCCATAAGTACAAAGAAGTGCCACTGTCCTCATTTTTTCCGGTGGGACTAGTCATGGACTTCTTTCTCTTTCCTGAAGCTATCTAGAAGATGGGGTTATGGAGCTGGACATCTAATGTCCCTCGGCAGTGTACAGGGAGCGCGCAAGCCCAATCAGAAGCTGATCCATCCACTCCCTCAAAACATAATAAAGTCTCCCTCAAAGAGATAAATTCCCCTCTCTCTTCATTGCTCTGGGTGTACCCTACACCCTGGACTGATTTTCCAGCAGCTCAGGGTACAAAAGCTGAAACATAGTAAGTATGTTATCCAAGATTGTATGGAAATCTGAAGCAGAGCAGGAAAATGAGTGCAGATTTCCCAGCTCCCAGACTAAAGTTCTCCACCACAAAATGATCCCTTGAGCCTCTGCTTCTAGGAAAAAAAGGGAAGCAACATTGATTTATATGAGCATCTCCCAAACAGTCCCATCACAGAGAGACAAAACAGATCTCTGCTCATCCATTCTTCTTACTTGGCTATTTAGGCAATACATTCTTGGGATAGAGAAGGGGTTTTGTATTTTCTTTTTGAGTTGTTGTTTTTTTCTTGTCTGCCTCTTAGTTTACATTTTTACAGAGATTGAAATGAATGAGCACTAATCCTGTCCAGGGCCTTGTGATGGCATTGTCAATATTGTAATAAAATTACTGCAGAACTACTCTCACTGGAAAGTTTTAGGAGTCACCTAAAAGCCAAATTCTCCCCTCAATCTCCCTTCCTTTTGATTCTGCTCTCTGCAGGACAACTCCACAACCTGGAGCCCAGCACAAGCTTCATTTCTCCCCATCCCTTCTTCCAGTCAGGAGACTGGGAAACCAACAACACGCAGTACTCCCTGAGCTGCAGAATATGACTAAGCCTTGCTTTCCTCCCAGCTCACTGGGACAACATGCCATTGCATTTCCTGGAGCTGTACATAGCAGGTATTTAAGAGATGCTGCTCTTTCATCAGCCCAATCTTTCAGGGATGCATTGAAACATCTGGTGGCATCTCTCAGAAATGCATAAGCAGAGCTTCACAGTATCTACCTACCAGCATGTGACTGCTGGCAAAGGGGTAGAGGTATTTTAATATCAGGACTCCCAGAACCATCATTGTAGCTAAACCAAATGCATTTTACTTTGCAAATGGAAGAGTTCCAGCAAAATGTTGACTTTTGACTGTGTTAGGGCTGGCAGCACAATAGACTGCCTTATACATTCATCAAGAAGCAGAAGTACAGATCTTACAGAGGTTGGTGATGAGGAGAACTATGGGCCATCAGAGGTGCCTTTGATATTTTCATGATTCTCCAGAAGGAACAGCATATATTGCAGAAGTTTTACAGACTCAGGTAAAAAAAAAAAGAACTGAAAGGAAGAGGAAGGAAGCGAGGAATGAGGTTGCAGGAGATCCCATGAGGGCCTGTTGGAAATCACAATGGAAGTCTCAGCCACACGAGTGAGGCAAACATCCATTCCCACCATGGAGGTCTATCATGATGGCAGTTTCTATCATCAATGGAGAGCATGCTGATAGAGCCCACATGGATTGGAGGGTGGAAGGTCTTGTGACTCCCTCATGGAGACAGAAGGGAAAGATAATTCTAAACCTCAATGATTCTATGATTCTATGATTCTAAATAACATATGATTGGTCAATGTGTAAAAAAAAGAAAGGGTGTAGAAAGCAGTACTGTGCAGAGGATGAAGGACAAACTTAAGAGAGTATTTCAGTGAATAACACAAACATAAGAAGCCTTTATAGCACATACCTTCAAGGTGAAGCCACATTAACCGTCCTTTAACTGAGGTGATAGAAGCGACACAAATCTCTGCAGGGTTCCTGGGGTTCACTGCCTCCAGCTTCATGTTCTTAGTAAAGCCACGGCTGAAGGATGTCTGAAAGAGTCAAGGACCAACACTGAAGCATGGCACTGCAGCACTGCATGACTTTAATTAGGCTGTCCACTGGGAAGCATAAATTTAGCATGGTTTGCTTTCCACTGGAAGTGCTGGATACACAAAAGAACACCAAGGCATCCAGATTCAAAATGGAGCTGCCCTGGACATCCATATGAAAAAAAAAATATCAGGAAGCAATGTATTTCATAGTTTACTCCAATCCCTATCTCCCAGAGGCTGGGAGGAGGTTACTCCACACCAGCTCCAAGTATATTTGAATGCTTGCTGGTGATGCATTTGCTGGCCACTGTTGGTGACAAGATTGCTATAGAGGGGGTTCCCAGATCTGCTGCACTTGAGCACCTCTCACCTTGCTAGGAGAAACCTTGTAAAGCAAATAACCCATCTTGCTGACACCAGAGAAACTTCTTCACACATTTAGTTTCCCAGGCTGACTGAGGCTGGAGAAATTTGAGTAACCTATTCAAGTATGTTTTTCTTTATAGAGTATTTTAAGCTCAATGTACAAGGTCCTTCTCTGTAGACTTCAGGTACATAAGTCGATTGGCTCCACGTGGGGGTAGATGGAGCCAGTTGTGTTTACTGCTACAGCAGTACCTCTGTATGCTTAAATAAAGGACCAAAGAAATAGGTCCTTCATGGGTTATCTGAGGCCCTCCCACTCCTCTTCAGTGAAAAAGCCAGGCTAGGTATTACAGCAATGATCCTCACATGAGAGGTCCTCACCTCAGATAAGAAACACAGGACCAAAATGTGGGGTCATGAGCTTGCAACAATACAGCATCCCCCATTGTACTTAGAGTAGGTACCACTGCTGTAGGCTGATTTATGCCTCGGAAAACTGCTTCAACCTGAGGTTGGCCTGGCCATGTGATAGCAGCAGCTGCTGACCAGTCCTGCCAGCTCCTGCCAGAACCAGGATGGCTCAGCCCCACCATAACAAACCACTGCTCCTGTTTATAGCCATTGCAGGTGATCCCAAGACCCTACAACACTCTCCAAAACCACCTCCACAAGCCAAGCTACAAGCTACTTTCATCCTTACCCTCTGTAACTTCCAGTGTCCTCTCTCCCTTCACTTAAGGTCAGCCCCTTCCCGATATCCCCACCACCACCATCCCTCAAAATGCCTAATGCAATACCTCTGGCCGTGTATTTTCCTTCCCTCTGTCCCACCCATTCTGCAACACATCAGGTCTAAGTGTTTGCATCTCTCTTTTTTGCACGCAACAGCACAAAAAGGTTCCCCCTCTTGCCTAATTTTGACTATTTAGGATGGGTAATACTTGTCGCTGACTTAAAATGACACCAATCTCCCATGCAGCATCTGAAAGCCAAACTGAAATTCAACCCTTCTGCTATTTGTACAGCACCTAGGACCATGGGCACTTCACCACAAACAATCACTGGGAGCTCTATGTGAGACTAAAAAATTCTGGATTTGGTCTTTTTTTTCCCTCAAGAAAGCACTGCCAGTCTCAAAAACTGCTTGGACCACCACAAGCCTTGCTCAGCCTTGTTCAGACTCACCCTGTAAAAGCTGCCCATGGCCAGAACTGCAGAAAAGCAGGGTGAGTTTGTTTAAATGCCTTTTATGTTGCCTAACAAGGAAACGTCATTTATCATCACACCGGTTCCTTTCATTGCAATTCGGTGCTGGAGGCTAATTTACACAGAATCAATGGCAAAACAGTTAGCTGGGAGTTTATTTTACTAAGCATTTGGTCATGTCAATCCAATTCATAACTGCCTCTCCTTGTTAAATATCCCCCCTGGGGAAATAGTTACAGCATATCCACTTCCAGCATCACGTCTGGCTGCAGGAGTGGAAGATGTGCTCGCAATGCAGCTTCCATCAAAGAGCCGCTCGCAGCCACGAAACAAATGGACCGACCTGCCAGGGGAGGCTGCACAAGGGACAGCAGTGAGGTTGCACCTCTCTGCAGAGAGCTGTGTTATCGAGAGTGAAAGAATAACAGGCACACGTTCATCTGATGAATGTTTCCTTAAACAATAAGAAAAAAAAAAAGAAAAAAAAATGTGCTTCGAATTGAATCATAGAATCCATCGTCTAGGTTGGAAGGGACCTTAAAGATCATCTAGTCCAACCATCAACCTAACTCTGACAAAAAAAAAAAAGAAATAAATAAGAAATATGCAATTTAAAAAATCACTAAACCATATTCTTGAGGACCACGTCAACTCATCTTTTCAACACCTCCAGGGATGGTGCCTCAACCACTTCCCTGGGCAGCCTATTCCAATGCTGGATAACCCTTTCCGTGAAGAAATGTTTCCTAATATCCAACCTGAACCTCCCCTGGCACAACTTGAGGCCACTTCCCCTTGTCCTATCTCTTGATTTAATCTTTGGAGGATATTACGCAGAGGCTATTCTCAAGGCTGCCAGCGTTTAGAGCACAGATCCATTACTTGACAAAATGAGGATGGACATAAAGAAAAGGGAGGGGCGCTTGCAGAAGAGAAGAAATGCAGCAGTTGTCCCACTCTGTTGGTACACCACAGCGTTGCCCAGCTTCCCTCAGCGCTTTTGGAAATCTTAGCTTGAAGTCTCTTTGAGATATGGGGTTTTGCACAGGATGGCACAACAAATGGGGCAAAGAAATCCTAACTCTGACTTGATCCCCAGGTCAAACTCTGTTGATGACACAGATCTTCTGAATTCATCAACAAAAAGTATTCAAATTTATAATTTCACCATCAAAGGTCTGTTCCAAGCCTGGCAGCCCTCAGGCCACCACAGACGAGGAGGACCATTTCATAGGCTCTGACTCATGGAAAAACATGTCTTGTGAGATTGTCTCAATTCTGCTTTTCATAAACACTCTGTACCCCAGTCTCAAAACCACTGAGTACAGTGAAAGCCTACATAACCCCCAGAGGAACCTGCTTGTCCACCATTCACAGCACCGCTTCATTTTGCAAATCCTTCTGCACTCATTTTAGGTACCATCACATTTTCAGTTAGTGATGAGATCTCAACTTCCATCAGCTGATGGGAGCATGAAGAGCTCCAGGTTATTGTAAAAGGCAGAAGGCTACATCTGCCTTTCACCAAGTGATGAATACCTGCTGGATCAAGCCACGCCAGATTGTCATTATCACTGAATCACAGAATCGCCAGAGTTGGAAGGGACCTTCTAGAGATCATTTAGTCAAACTCCTCTGCTAAAGCAGGAACGCCTAGAGCACATCACTCAAGACTGCATCCAGGTGGGTCTTGAAGATCTCCAGAGAAGGGGACTCCACACCCTCCCTGGGCAGCCTGTTCCAGTGCTCTGTCACCCTCACTGTAAAGAAGTTTTTTTCTCATATTTGATTTTTATTTTTTTTTAACACCACATTACCACAAAACAGCCTGAAGAAGATTGTTTCCAAAGCTCTGAATATTGGTGGCCTCCAGCATAATGACAGCCTCAAGCTCACTCTCATGCCACAGTTGCTGAAGCAAGGAAGCAGATGAACTGTCCCAAACACCAGAGCATCCATGTGTGTTAATCACCTTCCTCACATTCTGAGCTCAACAGTTCCAACCATAGCTTTTAAATTCCTTTAGTTTGGTTAACTGTATCTCATTGGAAGCCAGAAAAAACACTCAACATGTGAAAAGGACCAGGTGATACGCAATTTTTTAAACCACTTTATGGTTTTTTTTTAATAGCACTTGAATTACTTGTAACAGTCAGTTGAGATCCTTCTTGTGCTAGGTGCTGTACAAAAAATCAGAGAGGAGATGAACAGCAGGAAAGCTAAATTAATTAGATAAAGAAAAGAGTAAGATTAACATTTTTTGTTTTTCAGGGATAGAGACCTGAAACGTTTCTGCAGCTTCGTCCCTAAGACAGACTGATGCTGGCCTGGGGGAACCTCCCAAAGGTTTGCTGCAGCTTTTCCGTGCAAGCAACTGTGTTTCACATGGATCAATAGGAGCAAAGCAAAGGCAAAAAGAAAGCTTACATTTCTAAAGCACAGGTGAGGCGCTGCCTCCGCTCCGCACTGCTTCTGGTAGTCTGCCCAGTCAAAGTCCTGGCCAGAGTAACCTGCAGGATGACAAAAGAGAAAGTGCCATCAGCCTCCACCTCACACCAGAGACAGAGCACAAAATGGGCCCCAAGGTGACGATCATTTGTGTTTCAGCATCCCATCCCACCTCAGTGAATTGCAGAGTATCAGCAGGCAAGTACTCTGGATGCCTGTTCATACAGCATGAGAGCCAATGACAACACTTCTCCAGCCCCAACTCATACATCTTCTTCATTTCACTTTGAAAACTTCACATCTTCATTAAAAAGTAGTAAAAAATGCTTATTTCCATATTTTCCCTTTCCTGTGAGCGTCTTCCATGCTTTAGTAAATCCATAAGTACAAAGAAGTGCCACTGTCCTCATTTTTTCCGGTGGGACTAGTCATGGACTTCTTTCTCTTTCCTGAAGCTATCTAGAAGATGGGGTTATGGAGCTGGACATCTAATGTCCCTCGGCAGTGTACAGGGAGCGCGCAAGCCCAATCAGAAGCTGATCCATCCACTCCCTCAAAACATAATAAAGTCTCCCTCAAAGAGATAAATTCCCCTCTCTCTTCATTGCTCTGGGTGTACCCTACACCCTGGACTGATTTTCCAGCAGCTCAGGGTACAAAAGCTGAAACATAGTAAGTATGTTATCCAAGATTGTATGGAAATCTGAAGCAGAGCAGGAAAATGAGTGCAGATTTCCCAGCTCCCAGACTAAAGTTCTCCACCACAAAATGATCCCTTGAGCCTCTGCTTCTAGGAAAAAAAGGGAAGCAACATTGATTTATATGAGCATCTCCCAAACAGTCCCATCACAGAGAGACAAAACAGATCTCTGCTCATCCATTCTTCTTACTTGGCTATTTAGGCAATACATTCTTGGGATAGAGAAGGGGTTTTGTATTTTCTTTTTGAGTTGTTGTTTTTTTCTTGTCTGCCTCTTAGTTTACATTTTTACAGAGATTGAAATGAATGAGCACTAATCCTGTCCAGGGCCTTGTGATGGCATTGTCAATATTGTAATAAAATTACTGCAGAACTACTCTCACTGGAAAGTTTTAGGAGTCACCTAAAAGCCAAATTCTCCCCTCAATCTCCCTGCTTGGCATTCGGCCTGGCCTCACTTCACAGAACATCCCTTAATGCCTTTTTCATTGACAGTCAAAAAGGGACACTCAAGATCAGATGGGAATGAATCATTTATGACAATGAAAATTGTGAATTTTTTGTAGGCAAGAAAGGACTGGAATACTGACTGGAGTCACCTATCAGTCATCCAGGTCCTAAAATGGAGGTAAACCTTTTTTAAAATAAAGTCCCAATCATCCTACTAAGGTGCAAGTATCTGGGATAAGATGGACTTCTAATCCTAGTGACTGCATACATGACAAAAAATTAATGAGATAAAGCCTTGAGCAGAGAGGGTCCTAAAAGATGCCTGTCTCCGTGGGGCATTGAAATGCATAATAATTGGAGAACTAGAAATAAACATGCACAGAGAAGTAAAAAAGGGCAATTATAGAGAAGGTTCATTTTTCATACCAAAAAAAAAAAAAAATCCCTGCACTGTTTTTTAACAACTGATTTCTACAACAGTATTGTGTTTTTGCTTCTTCCCCATCTCATTTTTGCTCTCCAGTTATTTGTCTGCCAGATACTTTAGAGCTTCATAAAAGTAAATGGAAAACAGGAGTAGAAGCACACATCGCGTCAGAAGGGGATTCATCTGATCACATACAGATGTTTGTGGTGGAGATGCCTATAGCTGTGCCTGTCACCCTGGGCTCCCTAAAGAGTCAAACGGGCAGACCTAGAGGTGATGTCTGTCCTCCTGCAGAAGGAGCAGAATCTCCCTGTGAAAGTCCTTCTTACTCTCCACTGACTCCAGAAGAAGGCAGGGTGGTGGGGACAGCCACAGCATAGTTGTCTATGTTGCCTTCAGGGACCCAAAAACCTCCCCACGCTCTGCACATTCTCTTAGCTCCCATTTAAACCCTTCGTGGACACGTTTTGAATCTTAATTGCAAGCTACACAAAATCTTGGCAGAGCGGATGGAAAAAGTATAAAAACTCGACTGAGTTGTCACCACACAACCACTGGTTGGCTTGGCCCTGCACCACTGAAATTGCTGGAAGACCTTTTGCTGTAGACTTCACTGAGAAGAAAACCTGGGAGGGCAGTAACAGAGTTTACCATAACTCACTTCATCAGCCCAACGAGGATGACTCCAAGAGGAGCATACTGTCTTAAAACAAGCCTAGACCTGGCCTTTCCATGGAGCACCATACAATCATAGAATAAGCTACCTCCGTAAGTACCTGGCATTCACACACTGTTATCCTTTAAGGCTCAGCTCAATTAATAACGTTCAAAGCCCTGCTTGTGTAATTCACCTGCTACTCCCCAACCATGTAAAGACTCATTGTGTTTTCTACCTCTACTCTCGGCATGGAAGAGCCCAGCAGCTCAACCAGAAGTAAATAAAACAATACAAATGTATTGGAGGTTTTGGAAGTGGCATTTCCTTAGAAAGCCTTACAACTAAGAATGTGAAATGTTTTTCCCCCCTCTTAATAGCTCATAAAAAGGAACAATTGTTGTTAGTCTAAAGGGAAGTGGTCTATAAATCCAGCTCTAATAAATATAAACAGCGCTTGTTCAATGTTTATACAGCAGCAGTAAATGGGTATTCAATTTTGGCACTGTACAGGAAAATACTGCTCTCTATTTCTAGTAGCAAATGTTCGAACCTCCTGTTCATGACTCATCTGCTGTATGTCTGGCTTCAACAAAGGCCCGATAGGCAAAAAGGCAAGAGACTGGATATCAAACAAATAAAGGACTCTGAACCCAAATACCCCAACCTGGCGCACTGAGAAAAATGAAATAAAATCGGTCAATTTTAAAATCAGAAAACCTCCTTCTCAACCATAAATTAACCAAAAAACCCAAGGCCAGAGTACAGCAAAGAAATTATTTTCACAAAAGGAAAAAGGTCTTCCTCAATTATCATCTTTTGCTCCATGGAAACTTCTTGCCTTTCAACGGGGAGAGCAATTTGGGCAACGCTAAATATCATCAACATCTTCTCTATTAAGGTGATGTTGGCTGGGAACACGTGAGCACTACGGAAGCAAGTGCGTGCAAGAAGGGCAAACTCTGAACACCTTGGGTCAGGTAGACCAAGTTTTGGGTGGAAATGGTGGGATTTCCTCCTGCTTCTGCAGAACTGCTCATCAGCAGCCAGGTCACACCAGAGCCTTCCTCACTTTCGCAGCGTTGCAGCCCTCTCGTATAAGTCCTGGTTATTTCTTTATCCAAAGTTGGTATTATTCTGCTCAGAGAAGACTGGGTCCCTCAGGGAGGGTCTGGATGCTTTTCACTTTCCCTCTGCTTTCTTTTTTGGTGGTTTTTGGGTTTTTGTTGGTAAAGAAGTCACTTCAATGTCTGATTATATTTTAGTGACTCAAAGAACATGTCTGCCCTTGGAAGAGGTTTTCACCAAAGGTGCTACAATGCCGTTTGGGCATGCAGCCCTCCTACACAGTATAAGAAATGGCATGCATCTATCTGCCACTTTATGCCTTTTTTTAATAGCTTCCCTCCAGGATTTCTAATCAGACAGCAGAAAGCAAACTTTATTTTTATCAGGGGAATGAGGGGAGACTACCTACACCTTCTCAAGAGCCCAGGTGGACCTTAATCACCAGGCATTTCACCAGTTACCTTAGACTTAACTGGCCAAGTTGAGAAATATCATTATGATGGATGCTACAGACAGTTCTAAAACTGTGGGCATCTAAAAGAGAGTTCATGTGCTCTTGACCCGTAAAACACCATCTCAGACAGGCTTTGTACCAGCACAGACTGGAAATTATTAGGCCATGACCCTGTAAGAGAAATGTCTGGCCTATGGTCTACTTTAGTTAATTAGCTGGCCTGGGGGAAGCTGCATGTGAATTTGGGGTGGGAAAAACAAAACATTCCATTTACTTTCAATTTTAGCAACTTTTCTGGCCAATTTCAGTGAGTACTAACACAGGCATTATCGTTACACCTGGATTTAAGCAGGAGGGAGCTAAAGCATTCAGACAGCACATTTATTTCAGTAAAAGCAACAGAGTAATCACAGATGCACCATTTGCAGCTGCACGCACAGGACTCCAGGACTTTGGTGGGAATTTCAAATTATATGTGCTGAAAAGGTGCTCTGGATATACATAAGAGAACTCCAAATCTGGTAGGGAACAAACCTTCCCTTCCCTGGGTTTGGCAGCATCATGCTTTTTCCAAAATTACGAAAATAAACTACATGCAAAAAACTTTGTGGGATTTTTTTGTTTTGTTTTGGAGGAATTTCTTTTTCTCCCAAGCAACATCAATTTCTGGCAATGGGTCAACATCCCATCCAGCTTCAAAAATCTAAAATTCCCGAGAGCCAACACATTTTGCAAGTGAAGAAATATTGCTAGGGCACCACAGGTGGTTGTCTGAAATTGCAAGTAATTAACTGCACTGCTACGAAGTTGGGAAATAGCACGGTTGGAGGCTGTTTCTTCTGGCTCTGACCTGAACACTGCTCGCAATTTGCCCTCGCCTGGGATTTTTTGAGACAGTTAAGGAAATGCCTACATGCTCCTGGGCTGTGAGCTTAGGTTAGATGTTTAGATTTAGGAGCTTTGCTTGGCCTCAGTGTTGTGCTGAGGTGGATGCTACAGGGAGATGCCTGGTTTGCCTCTAGTATGATATGACTTTTAACCCTCCTTTTGCTCTTTCCACACACAAAACATCGCCAAGATGCATTTTACAGGAATTCATTAGGCTTTAGTGCAGGCTGCTTCAGACTACAAAGCACACAGACATCAATCTGCCTGTCAGAGGCATTTGCAGAGATGTTCGTGTCATGGAATGACCCAGAAGAGCCCCAGTGACTCAAGAGAGCTACTCTAGCTCAAGATACTTAGGGTGATGCTCCGCAGTGAACAGCATCATGGTTTTAAAAGCAATAGTAACAAGCAAACTTCCCTCAGAGGACACCAGAAAGGAATACGAACCCTTGGGAGGTGTGAGATTGACTCCGTTTTTAAGGCACCACTGTATTGGCAAGATCCCTAAGGAATCCGCATGGCAAAGCATTGAGATTTTGCTGGGTTCAGGTCTCAAGTCATCAATGGTCACTTGTAAATAATGATTGTTAAAAACCTGGGGGGTGAAAAAGAAGAAAACAAAATCAGAAGTTAAATTTGCTGTAACATTAGGAAGTGTGGAAAGCTAAAACAGCCAGACTCTGGAACGAAACTACTTCTGAAAATAACCCGCTCTCACTTCATACTTTTCATCAAAGTGTTTCTACCAAAAAGATCAAATCCTGAGTTTTAGAGATGGGTAAACTGAGGAAAAGGAAAGCGTGTGGAAAGCTAAAACAGCCAGACTCTGGACTCAAACTACTTCTGAAAATAACCTGCTCTCACTTAATACTTTTAATCAAAGTGTTTCTACCAAAAGATCAAATCCTGAGTTTTAGAGATGAGTAAACTGAGGAAAAGGAAAGTGCTGGGCTTCAGGATCACTCAGTGTGTCCAAAGATGAGCAAGGACTGGAGGAGATCCCAGAGACCCCACAGCCTTCCTCTCTCTTCCCTTTGAGAGTGTGGATTAAATATCCAGCTACCCCCTCCATCCAGCTCTTTTCATTTCAAAAGTTTCCCAGATGTGCAGGGAAAACACATATGCCTGGAGGGGACACAGGGATAAAAGAGGGATCCTGATTTTCTGCATGGAAGTGGTAGGTAGACATGCTCAACCCCATGAGATCTAAGTGCACATATAGTCACCTGGTCATGTTTGTTTGACAGAAACGATCCATTAATTAGGAACATCCATGGATTTTAAACTTATGTATTAATTAGTTCTCCAGCCAATGAAGTAACACTCGAGTTTGCCTAAACATAGTGGAAAGCAGTAAGAGGTTCTTAATCAGGCTCTTTTCATCTCCCCTTTTGGGAGCTCACCTTGGTCACTGATGCAGGACAGATATGAAATGGCTCTCTCATATTCACCGCCTCCAGCTTCATCCCCACTGTGAAGAAGTGGTTTCGCAAATCAGCATGGTCCTGCAGGAAGAAATGGGGAAGATGAACACAAAGTGTGTCAGCACCATCCACCAAGGAGGGGTTGATACATTTGAAAATCTATTTGAAACGCATCCATGTGGCTTTTGTAATCTAGCTGATTACCAGATTGACTCCCACTTCCAACTGGGCGCTCCTGGTCCTGTGGTCTTTTCATGCCAACACCATCACAGAAAGAGAGGGGACAGCCTCACTCCTAGAGGACAGATCTGCAGGACCAAGCCCATCATATCTAAAGCACTATGTGTGTCTGTCTGTCTCATTGGCAGCATTTAACTTGAACTTAGTCAACAAGGAAATCACCGTCAGCAAAATGAGGATCTGTCTGAGAAATGGCTACTTGAAACTGTTCCCTGGACAAAGCCTCTTCACCTCTGACAGCCAGTACCATCTGAGAGCAACCAGAGGTCCTGAGGTATCAGGACGTAACCTCAGGGTAACGCATAACATGGGTGGAAGCAGCCCAGGATGGTCTGATGGACCCTAATCAATATCCAGCTCCTGCAAGGCACCAAAATAAGGACCTGGGCTGGCTTCCATGTACTGCAAGATGGGAAGGTCTTTTCTCCAGCCAGGAGACTAAAGGTGGATACACACGAAAATGAACTCCGAGCCAAAATGAGGGCAACGAGATAACATGGTCATGAAACTCAGAAGAAATCCAGGTTCAACTCCCTGATTTGCCACCAGTTTAGTGTTTAACATCTATCAAATTACTCCATCCCTCATGATCCCTATCTAATAGGTGTACGAGTTGGCATCTTAGTTCCAGAATAATGATCATATTTAGTGTTTGTTCAACAAAAACGCCCTACGGTATTTCTAAACCAGTTGTGCATTAGCCAATACAAGCACAAAAAGAGATGATGTTATATTTAACACACACATACAGATGACTCCAAAATACACGAAGAAAGCTTGCTATCTAATAAGTGGTTAGCAATGTCATTCCCATCTACATTCATTGCTACATGTTGTATTCTTGTTCTAAAATGATTTTCTATTGATCTGAAGTTGTTATGTCATTGTGCTTTCTTTTCCCAAGAACTGTCTTCACTTGCAGACTTAACAACTTCTATTTTGGGATCTTACATTCCTGCTGCCATTAGAGATAAGGATTTTTACAAGCTCCAGCCTCCGCTAAATGAATTGCTGTTTTCATCTTACCAACCTGCAATGTTACCAAGCCTTTTATGTCAGAACCAAAAAGCAGTCAAAAAAAGAAATCATAATGGATTTAGCCTCACAGCAAGAGAAGTATATACTGATGGAGAAACTGAGGACGATTTAGCAATAAAGTCCCAAAGCCCAATAAACTAATGGCTGAGGAAGGAGCAGACATTCAGGAGTCTGGATGTCCTGCAGTATGACACCTCCATTAGCCATACGTGCACTTGCTGGGAGTTGCTTCCGTACCACTAAAGCCCCAGAGAGATGGGAGACCCATTTCTAGCAGCTTTACAGAGAATTTTTCATTGAATAGAAGTCTGAACCACAGAGGAGAATCTGTCTCCTCGTACACAGAGCTTGCATAGGACCAGGGATGCGTCAGGTTATAAAAATGGCCAAATTTACTACTGAAAAGGCTTCAGCTGGGAAGAGATGATAGCTGCAAAAAAACGAACCTCGCCAGCACTGAACTCCAAATCTCCAAAGGCAAAAAGCATCTGGACTGGAGGGCTGCCTCCTCCTGCATGAGGATCCACACCCGGCGCCTCTTAATCCTTAGGGTGAGGTTGTAAAGAAAAGGCGACTTTGCAAAATAAATGTACATCTGGAAGCAAGCTTACGCTGCAGCATCTCCCCATCAAAAGTTCCAGGATTCAATTCACGCTCATATCCAGCTTCAGTACATAATAAGCCAAGATCCACCAACGTACTTAATCATGTTTATCTTTAAACATGCAAGTAGTTTCATCAACTTTTTAAGCGATTTGTTGATTGAGACCAAAATATATCGAGAACAAACCATACTGCTTCTCATTTTTATTTGAATCATTTTCTTTGGTTCTTCTTCTTCTATTTGTTTTGGCCTTTTTCATAGGGGGGGGAAAAAAAATCAGGTCGGGAACAAAAAAAAAAAAAGCTAATAACATTTAAAGCTATTTTGCTTCAAAAGCATATCTTCTTTTCTCCACACTATGTACCTTAGGATCAAATCTCCCTTCTCATTCAGCGTAGCATGTAAATATCTTCCCCATTAAATTAACAACAAGAGTGAACTCGCAAGAGGAGTTCATGGGATCTCAGGCACGTCTCCTTTTTGAGGGTCAAAATCCTCTTTGAAGCAGGAACATACATTTGTTTGGAGAAGGGCTGTGGAAGTAAAAAGCTTGTCTGTATTAAATGTCATTTTTGAGATGGAAAAGCTTTCATGGAGAAAAAAGCCTTTGTATTATACCTCTCTGGCAAATGGTCAGGGTCTGGATATTTGATCTCTCTCGTATATTTGCTAAAGAGAGGCATCAAAATTTACCAACGCAGCCTTAGATTTTTGCAGCCACAAAAGGAAAAAAAGATCCTGATGCCGTTCTCCAGTTCCAGTGCTGGAGTTGCCTCAGCCAGTAGGGAATTGCTTAGGATTTGGCATATGCTCCTCTTCAAAACTCCAATTAATTTACATAATTTCTAAGAATAGGTTCCACAGAAGTGAAGGCAAAGCTTTTAATTAGCATTAGACTCAAAGTGATACACTGGATAATGAACTGCTCTCTCCTCCCTTTATTCACATTGACAGGAAAGATGCCTGTTTAATAAAAGCAGCTACAAGGAGAGGACTGAAGGGGTGAGACTGTCCCCTAGCCCCCACCAGGCTCTGCAGCCAAGCAAAAGAAATGCCTGAAATTATTATGGGTGGCAGAATTGGACCCTTTAACGCAATTTCACAGCCTTCAAAGCCACCTATGAGGATGTCACCAGCCATTATTTTCTAGCAACTACCCCGAGTGAGTTTTCTTTAAGATGAATAGGAAGAATATTTTTGACCAGTTGGAGCATTTTATAGCCTCGTGTGTGGTGAAGCTTCACTCCTACTGGCAGTCAAAGCGTCCCAGGAGCAGCCCCAGTGACCAGACAGATTTACACCAGCAGATCACCTGTCCTGGGGTTCACAAGCCCAGGTGGGAGATGAAAATAACCTCTGACTGCTGGAGAACAGTTAAGTAAGCTGGATTGACAGCCCACAAAGATGCAGTAGACTGAGAAGGGATCTCATCAATGCTTATCAATATCTAAAGGGCAGGTGCCAAGAGGATTGGGTCAGGCTCTTCTCAGTGGTGCCCAGTAACAGGACAAGGGGCAACAGACACAAGCTGGAACACAAGAAATTCCATCTTAACATGAGGAATAACTTCTTTACTTTGAGGGTGCCAGGGCCTTAGAACAGGCTGCCCAGAGAGGGTGTGGAAGTATTCAAAACCCACGTGGATGCGTTCCCGTCCAACCTGCTTTAAGAGAAACTTTTTGGCAGGGGGATTGGATGAGATGATCTCTGGAGGTCCCTTCCAACCCCTGTCATTCTGTGATTCTGTGTCCCTTACAGCAAAGTGAAAAATCACACCATGGAAAGCACAACGAATTAACGTGGTACAAGTACCCCTGTCGCTCATTCAAAGGGTCACAGTCTCTAACATAATGGATTACAGCCTGTGATGGTGCTCATGGGTAATGAACGAGAAATTGCACAACCCTCCACTGGAACATTGGTCACTTACAGCCCAAACCCACTGGCAAAAAAGCCAGGGCTGTCACAGCTCTCACTACAAACCCCAAAAAGCAGTTAAACTCAGCCCCACGCTCCCAGTTTTGGAGCAGAACATGTTTGCAAGTTTGCCAGCGTGCGCAGGCTGCACCTTCAAGACAGCCCGGCTTTGATGCTCAACTGCAACATCATCTCCATCTTCACATGGCATCTGTTTCTGCAACCCTTTTACAAAAACTATGGACGGGCTTTCCAACAGCTCCCTGCAACCAGCATCACCTGTAGGGCTGAAAACTGGAACCTCTGAAGGTCAAATAACAAGTCAGCAGCAGTGCTGGGAAGAGAACCAGGCTCCAATTCCAACCCTCATCTTCAGGTACTGGGAAAGTTGCATCATCTTCTCCTTTGTAGCTAACGAGTCACCGGCAGTGCAAGTTTCAAAAATTTCAGGTGACTTGGGAGCCTAAACGCCATTCCAAAAGACACCCACAAACAGATTTACAGAAGTATTCAGGCTCTGCAGGATGTAGATAGGCTTTAGGGAAGTGCCTGTGTGGGTGACATGCTTAAGTCCTAATAATGAAGTCACTAAGCATTGACTTTAGGTCTTGAACTCAAAAAGATACACTTCAAAATCATTGTAGTCATTTGCCCATTCTGGATCCTCGTTAAATCTGGCTTCTGAGTACTGCTCCTCAAAAATATCATTTAATTGTACATAAACTCAAATCTGCCCATTTCACAGGAGAGTTCTGGCCACCGAAGGGTGGAGCTCAGTTAATTTCACAGTGCAGATAGAGCAGGGGGCTCAGCTAAGGTGCTTTGCCTGTGACACTCAGGGAAGCTGTACTACAGGCTGGTTGCTCTAGCCATGTCCACAAACCCAAGGAAGGGCATCGCCTTCAGACTGTGAAACGCTCATTTTTAGCCCATTCCGCTCAAGATAGAACACTGGAGTCATCTCATTTTAAACCCAGCAGCTTACATCGTGTATAGAGAAGAGGAAAAGGCTCTAATTTGAACTCTAATTGTCAAATATCCTAAAACTCAGGGCTCTCCTCGTCCAGGGTAGTCAGATTCACGCCAATTCTCAGACTGCAACTTTCTGCAAAATTCAGAACTACGTCTGAATGCTGAAAAGCTGCAAAGTTGAGAGGCTGATTAGAAACACTGAGCACTTAATAAATGATTGACCTGAGCCTCCTTTAATCCCCACCAACTGTAACAGTGTGAAATGCTATCGCCTTCAGTCACATCTCTCCTGGTTTACCCTACTAAAAAA